CCCCCGCCCCCCCAGGAATACATTGGCTATGAATCATTATCATTTTGAATGAGGATATTGTAAATGATGTTTTCTAAATCCTGGGAGTTGGTCTGGGACAGAAGACTTGTGGTACCGCTACTCCCTCGGACATCCCTGGCTAAGTCTCTCCCGCCCCGTTTTGGAAGGGTAGTACGCCTACCAGCTAATGGGTGGCACTGTGCTGAGGGTTATTACATTGCCCTGCAGTATCTTGATTGAGGGCACTTCATAAATAGCAATTAGCAGTTACGCAATGCCTGGTGGAGAATGACAAGAGTGTGAACTGCAGATATGTATATAAAATGTAACTTCGTTTTTAATCTGCCTGTTGGCAGAGTTAGATGATACTCATGTGAGTTTTTTATAACTCGGGGAAGGGAAGTTTGGGGTTATTTGGGTGGGCCGGGGGGTGGAGAGAGGGGAGGTGGTTATTTGTCCCAAGAGTCCAGTCATCCTCTGGTGAGGTGAAAGGCAGTTTCATTGTTCATACAAAACCCATCTGTGTTTGTGTGTGTGTGTGTGTGTGTGTGTGTGTGTGTGCAGATTCTGCCCTTTGGCAGCCGTGCCATCGACACCTCTGAGTAAATTTGACTTTGAATTTATGGGCATCGCAGCCAGCTGAGCGGAATGACTTTTGTTGGGGAGTGGGTTACTTTTATGTATCTTCCAAACCAGCAGCCGTCCTACAGTGAGTGACCTTTGAGTGATTTCATGCAGGTGATTTGAGGATCTTCCTGTGTGCCTAGCACATTCTTCCATTCAGACTAAGGGTCTTAGAGCCATTGCTTTGATTTTAAGTTCCTGTTAAAGCAGTGAGTGATCCCAACAATTAAAACTTTATGCCCAAAATGAAAATTAGTGTCTCCTGAAATGGGGGAGTGGGGGCGTGTCATATTTCATCCAAATTCAGAAATGCTAAAATTTTTGTTTGTATCTATATAGTGATATTTTAATATAGCCACTACTGTTCTGCTAACTCAGTTAATTCTCTTGAAACCCATGGAAACAAAAATTTAATAGCATGAAACCGTTGTTTAAATTACACAGTCATTGAAAAGAGATTTATTGCAGGCTATCGATAGTTTTTCCTATAGCTCCCCTTTATGTTTTAAAAAAATAATGGTTGCTTGTCAACATACTGTCTTTATCATGCTAAAATATATATAATAAAGGGTTGCCCCATTCCATATTTTCTGCGTGTAGAATTCAGTGACATGTACCATGATCACTTCTGTCCTTTTCCAAATTATTTCAGCACTGTTCACCCCAAACCCACTGCCACTGTGTTGATTCTGACTCATCGCAGCCCTGTGGAGAGTTTCCACGGGGGGACTCTTTACAAGTGTCAGCTTCATTTCTCTGTTGGCGTGGCAGGTGGGTTTGAAGCACTGACCTTGGGTTAACAATTCAACAGAGTTTATAATACCTCTTACTCACTATCCCCATCCCTGATAGCCAGTAATAAAATTTGGTTTCGATACACTGCTTATTTCATGTAAGTGGGATCATAAACAGTGACTAAATATCTAGAATGTCCTCTGGTGGCATAGCGGGTTTCACATTGAGCTGCTGACCTCAAGGTCATCTAGGTGAAACCACCAGCCTCTCTAAGGAGAAAGAGGAGGCTTTTCACTTCTGTAAGGATGTAGTCTGTAAAACCCTCAGGGGAAGTTGTCTAATCTGTCTCGTGGGCTCTCTGTGAGTTGCCATGGGCAGGGAGTTGTTGTTGCTGTAATGTACTTTACACACATCTGCTGTTTCATTGCACCCATTCCTTTGACCATAGTGCCTAAGTCGGTACTGTGATTATCCTTCCCCAAGTCTCACTGCTCTGCTGAGGAAAATTTGAACTCTGGAAACTCTTGGAGATTCTTCGCCAAGGTTCCTGCAGAGACCGAGGTTCTGTCTGGTGACCATCCAGTGAGAGGATGCTGGACGTTCACTTCATGGTGTGGGGGGGTGGGGGGGGGTTGTTTGCTTTCTGATTTAGTAAATGTAAAATGCACACCTCTTCTGCCATTCCCTTTACAGAACTATGGAGATGGGACTCCCTATGATCACATGACCAGCAGGGACCTTGGGTCACACGACAATCTCTCTCCACCTTTTGTCAATTCCAGAATACAAGGTAAGCGTGGTATTGAAATGACCATACACCCATGAAAGCTTATAACTTACCAGGGAAGGAAAGTGGCTGCCCAGACTGAGGTTTTGGGTTAGGGGTCTTGGCTCTTTTGATACTCACTGTAGTATTTTTTTTTTAATTGCAGGAAAACACTGGCAAGAGCACACAGAGGACTAAGATTTATGTTTCTGAATTTCTGTAGACTTCCCCCTTCGTAGACATAAGCCACTGGTCTTTGATCCAAAATTGCGATTGTAGTTTTCTGAGCTAAGCTTGGTGGGAAGTCAAGGTGATGAATGCTGACAATAAAAATATCAAGTTTGTCTTGACAGGTGGCACTGATGTATAGTCAGTCCTGGAGCCTAGTTTTGTCGCAGTGGTCTTGGAAGTGAATAGGATTAGTGGGCCCTAATGCACTTCAGTTGGAGTCGTGTGTGCAAGTTGGGTGGTGAAACTGTTGTGTCTTTTTCCGGCACGAGCCCAGCACTGATGATATAGTAGACTCGATTCTGGTTTGCTGAAGGCGAACTGTGTACAGTTTGAAACAGCGTGTTTCCAGCACACCCTTCATAAGGTTGCCCTTCACATATTTTTCTGCTTTTGACGACCCTGTAGGGATGTTTGTTTAACAGCAGCAACCGGGCAATGAAAAGGTAATTCATAATGACGGAAAAGGTCCCAGTAGCTGCTCGCTTTATTTGCAATGGAAAGAAAAAATGAGCTTTGCTTTATTAGATGTGAGTTTTTAACAATATTAGTATCTCTCTCAACCTGGCTAAATTCTATTGCGAATCTGCCAATAAATGAATTTAAGTTTCTTGGCACCTGCTTGTGGACTCCAAGGAAAATTCGTGGCAATAGTGATAGCATTTCAGAACGATAATTCCAAATGCTTCCAAAGAGTGTCCTGATTTTTAACCCACCAGAAGAAATACCAGTTACATTTAAGCTGTAGCCAGCCTTTTTTTTAATTTTAAAGTAACCATCAAATCCCTTTAAAGGAATTCCAGATACGTAACATACAACAATCTAAGTGGAGAAACACAAGGTCTGCCAATTTAGTGCTACCAGATAACATCATATAACCTTGACTTCTAGTGTCTCTAAACTTTAGGAACTAGGAAGTCGTGCATGGTCATAGACTGTTCTTTTATTTATGCCCTTGTTTTACTTTCATGTGACAATTGCCTGGTTAGGTTTTAGCCCACCCACTACTCTGGGCTCATTTTGACTCTTAGCAGCCCAACAGGATTTCCATGGCTGTAAATCCTTATTGGAAGCAGACCACCTCATCTTTCTTTCATGGCCTAGCTGGTGGGTTTGAACTATCAACCTTTGGGTTAGCAGCTGAGCACTTTCCCACAGCACCACCAGGGCGCCTTACATTTTTGACATTGTAAGCAAAACAGGAACGCTATTCTCCTTTCAGTTCCTGCTAGGGAAGTTTCGTGTTTTCAAGATGGATACAGATGGTTTGATATATTTGTCAACCTAGATTTGAAAGAATGTCTTCTGACACTGCAATGCCAATAGAAAGTATTTGCAATTTCTAATACCATTGCTGTTTTATTCATTGCCCTCCACCTTCTTAAATAGCAGACATTACTCTCCCCAAAGAGAGTAATCTTTTGAAGTAGCAAGACAAGGTGGTGGTGATGGTGGTGCTGTTGTTGTTGAAGAACTTAGGACATTCCAGCCCTCTGATGAGTGGTGAATAAAGGAATATAGAATAAATGCACAGCTACTGGGTTTCTAGAAGCTTGTAGATAAGAAAACAAGACTGGTGCTAAAGGGTAAGTTGGTGAATTAAAATGACAGACTGTACCTGGCAACACAATTGCAGTGAGTGACTCTTCTTGTTCTGATTGCCTCCTGGGCGAAGGGTTTCCGAAGTTTCTCAATGCAGCCGGCATTTAAAATCTCAGTGGGCTGGAAGTCGAGTGCAGACTCCTTTCACTGTTTAAGCGGAGAACCCATGTCAGCCTGACTCTTTCATCCAGTCTGCCCTCCCTCCCATGAAACTCTTCAATATGGAGCCCGAGACAGTCGCCTGCATTGTGATCGGAAATGCGACTATGTCCACGAGGCTCCCACCCACTGTTCCCAGTGAAAGGGCCTCTCTGTTTGATAAGCTGTCTGGTCTGAAACATGGCTCTTTATTGTTTACAAACTGCTACATTTTCCACCTCAAGCAGATTTTTGCACAGAAAAGAATTGTGCTTGGGCTAAATGGTTTATCTGACATTAGCGGTGCTGTGTCAGACTCGGGTCAGGGAAGTTGCCCTCGAAGCAACAGGGCACAGCAGACAAAAAGTTGTGGGGGGCGGGGGGAGTGGGGCTAGCGGGAGAGAAAAAGACATTCTAAAAACTCTGAAATACCTCACATTTCAGTGTAGAGAAGAATGTGACTTTTTTTTGCTTTTGAGGACTGGCAGTGCCACACGGACACCCTCCTCACTGCTGTAGTTCCTCACCTCCCAGCGCCCGTCCCCTTGCTCGGCCAGAGTGTCCAGGGCCAGAGTCGGAACAAAGGCTCTCATTGATTGGCCCAAGCTGCTGTTTAATGAGAATGAAGCCATTTTTAAGATGAGCCATGGGGGTGGTGGGTTGCTGTTTTACAAAGGGACCCCCCCACCCCCCAAAAAAAGTCCTTTGTGTTTTTTAAGGAGAAGAAAAATGAAGGATAACCTTAATTTACAAACAGAGACAAAGATAGAATTAAACCCATGAGCGCTGCCAGGACTTTGAACTCATAGGCGATGCGCTATTATCTAAACAGTTCTTTGTGTCCAACTCCATCTTCCATGGCTGACCTTCTGGAAGTATTCCCTCTGCCAAGAGAAGGTATGAGACTTGACTGTACGTTTTTGACAACAATCCAATATCCATTCTCAGAACCCCTTAACTGGTTCTCATTACAACTACAAAGCGTTTCTTTACATTTCAAAGACTTTTTCTGCCGTGATGTCATAGTAGGGTAAAAGCTATAGCTTCAAAAATAAAGCAGCCACTTTATTGGACCAGATTCTCTGTTGTCACATCCATCAAGCCTGTGACTGAATTAAGCGTCTGCTACAGAAATAAGTGACACTAATTTTACAGGGAAGAGTTATTAACTGCGGATGACCTGATTTCTTTCTTTTCTTATTTAGTAAACTGTTCACTTAGTGAAATTTTATTTTATCACAGGGAGGGGCTGGGGGGGGCATACTCAACCACTCTCCTTAGGGGTGTGAATTGTTATTGTCTATTTTGTGCTTTATCGCAGTGTACTATGTTGAGGTAACGCTACCGTCTCCACCATATTTCCTCATACAAACTCTATTATAGTAATAAACCCTAACTTCTGAATTTTACATGAATGATTTTGCTTACACTCTAGGTAGGTCTTCTGATATAATACCTATACTTGGCACTGGACTAAAAAGAAACATTTTTTGTGTGTCCATATTGCATGTTGACAGGAATTTGCTGATGTAATTTATAAGCGAGCTGGAATAGTACCTTCTTGAATTTACTTAATTAGGAAATGTATACACTGTATATGTATGTGTAGACATACACATACACACTACTTGTGAATCTCTAAATTCAAAATGGAGAACATACTTGTGTGCATGTGTGCATACATACACACTTAATGTTGGAAGAATTAAAAGCAATTCTTGGTTTATAAGTTAGCTTTACCTGTTCCATTGTCGTCTGCCGTGACCGTTATACAGAATTTTGGAGATTGATACTGTATGAATCCTCTTGTAAGAAAAGTGTAAGCCAAAGAAAAGGACTACCTCCTGAATTGTGTGTGTGTTCCCCCCCCCCCACCCCCCCCCAGGTAGGTTGCTGTGAATGAAAATTGGGTGAGGGAGAGTTCTAGAGGCATTGAAAGATTGAACTAGCTCAATAGCTTGTGTTGACCAATTGCAGGATTCCCTCTACTTAGTGTTTGCTCCTCAATTTCCTTGGTTTGATACAAGCCAATTTGCCCTTTGCCTTCCTTGGAATTCCTTGTTCTGTCCTTTTTTCTGGAGAAAATAAGTCCCTTCTTCTTTGTGACAACTTGTGATTGTCAGGGGTGACGCACACTTACCTTGTTGGTGTTGGATTCTCTGCTGTTGTTAACACTCTTGAATAACCTCCCCAGGTGAGCCCTGGGAAGCTTTCAGAATGTGCTAGTAGGACCCAGAGGGCCTGGCTCTAATTGCTTATTTTCAAGAGGCTTGCCCATATGCTATGAAATATTTCGAAAGTCCCAGCAAGAACTATACACAAAGAGTATGGATTAATATGTTTGAACATTCATTTAAAAACGTCTTTCTTTTGCCGACCACTGAACTTTTGCAGATGAGCATCCAGATAATTTTCCTCATGGGAGACTGTCAATTTCCTAGCACAGCTCTTTGATCGGAGGGAAGATCTAAGCGTGCGTTTTTCTTCTTTTGTTCCAGAGTCTTAATTGAAAACCAGATTGTTTGAGGCTAAGTGAGTAAGTCGCCCAGTAGGATTACATACATGGGTTGGTAACTGAAGGCTGTGGAAAGCGATACTTCTGTACAGTTGGGTGCAGCTTAGTTCAACATCAGCTGCTGTGTTTTCACATGTCCCATTGTGCACGGTTCGGTTTCCTGGCTGTGGCATTTCTAGTCTGACGAAGGGGACTTCACCAGGGCACTAAATAATTCACTGCCTTGGAGTTAACTGGGTTGTGAACCAGCTCAGTGGAAGGTTTTATTGCAGGATCCGATTGAGGTTGCAGGCAGAACCGAAGAAAGCTGTTGGCTTAGAGGACGACCTTTGAATCTCATCTGGGTTAGCGCTTGATATTTTGATTTGGTTACTGTGGTCGTATTGTGACAGCTGCTGGCTCATTATCATTCAGTTCCACTGCTCGGTTTGCCTAGCAGGAATATTTAGGTTTGCATTACTTCAAAGTGTTTATGGCTACCCTGAGTTCAGCCCAGCATAAAGGTGAAGCATTGAGTACTTTCGGATCGCAGCAGCAGAGG